AAGATTATAGTTAAATATATACACTGCATTTACATCTAGAAACCTCATTGTAGCAAAACGTTGAGAAAAGAAAGTATATTTATTACTTCATAAATGACGATCAATTACATTAAGTTATAATTAGTAAATACAAAAAAACAAAACTGTATTTAACCTTGTGGAGAAGAATCGATCATAGAAGCTGTTTTATAAAAATCTACAATTAGAATAGAATCATTTGATAACTACAGAGATACAAAGACTATTAAGTTTAAATCAATTAACCAGATGTAGAACTTATAAATAAAGGGGTTGTAAAGAGGTTTTCTAATAAAAAGAAATATGTGTATCGGGGACACTGATGAAATCAATCTGCACCATTCCAATTTTCAATCAGACGTTAGTTTTCGATGACGTCACTTATCGAAAATTTATACTATATCACATAAAGCCCTTCGCGATTAGTGACGTCACCAAACACTTAGTTTTTATGGAATTGCATGAACCACAGACGTCTGATTGAAAATTGGAATAGTGCAAATTTATGATATAGGTATGCTCGATACACATAATTTTTTTTAAAACAAATCTTAACAATTCCTTTATATAAATACACTACATTTACATCTAATAACCTCATTGTAGCAGAACGATGAGAAAAGAACGTAGATTTATTACCCCTTAAATGGTAGTCAATGTAGCTTATTAACTTAAGTTATAATTAGTAAATCGTAAATACAAAACTGTATTTACCTTGTGGAGAAGAATCGATTATAGAAGCTGTTGTATAAAAATCTACAAAATAAATTAAAATAGAATCATTTGATAACTACAGAGAAACAAAGACTATTAAGTTTAAATCAATTAACCAGATGTAGAGCTTATAAATAAATAGAGCTTATGAAATCAATTCGCACCATTCCAATTTTCAACCAGACGTCAGTTTTCGATGACGTCACTAATCGAAAATTTATACTATATCACATAAAGCCCTTCGCGATTAGTGACGTCACCAAACACTTAGTTTTTATGGAATTGTATGAACCATAGACGTCTGATTGAAAATTGGAATGGTGCAAATTTATGATATAGGTATGCTCAAAACACATAATTTTTTTTAAAACAAATCTTAACAATTCCTTTATATAAATACACTACATTTACATCTAATAACCTCATTGTAGCAGAACGGTGAGAAAAGGACATGGATTTATTATTTATAATGGTAATCAATGTTGGTTATAACATTATTACATTAAGTTGTAATCTGTCAGTATAAAACTTTATTTACCGTGTCGTGTAGAATCTCTCATAACATATGTTGTAGAATTATCTACAAATTAAAATAGAAATATTTGATAACAACAGCGACACGGGACTATCAAGTTTAAATCAATGGACTAGATATAAAGATTATAGTTAAATAAATACATTTACATCTGAAAAAATCTCATTGTAGCTAAACGATATTGGACATAGATTTATTACTTCTAAAATGGCAATCAATGTTGCTTATTACATTGTTATAATCTGTAAATCGTCAGTATAAAACTTGATTTACCGTTTGGAGTAGAATCGATCATAGAAGATGTTATAGAAGTATCTACAAATTAGAATAAAATTATTTGAAAACTACCAAGAAAGACTATTAAGTTTAAATAGGGTATTATGTTTTTGAGGTAGATTGAAATTCGGTTAGGAAAATCTAAGCAAAGTAAACGCCTAATTGTAGAGTAAGAGACCCTTTACTTATTCTCAATGTTTCAACTAATAATATCGAGCTATTATGAAGCCGAGAACCAAAACTAGTTCAAACTAGTTAACAATTATAATGCCCTGTTTGTTATTAACCCTTTTAAAACAAACTCAGTTTGATCAAGAAATAAAATCTTTTGATATATTTGATAATGAAAGTTTTCCCCTTAAAAAAACTGTATTTACCGAGTAGAGAAGAATCGTTCATAGAAGCTGTTGTAGAAAAATCTACAAAATAAATTAGAATAGAATCATTTGATAACTACAGAGATACAAAGACTATTAAGTTTAAATCAATTAACCAGATGTAGAGCTTATAAATAAAGGTGTTGTAAAGAGGTTTTCTAATAAAAATTATTAGTATCGTGGAGGGCATTCCATTCCAATTTTCAATCAGAGTTTGATGACGTCACTAATCGCAAAATACCACACCAGGCCCTTCGCGAGTAGTGACGTAGTCAAGCACTTAGTTTTGTGGAGTTGAAGTTGTCTGATTGAAAATTTGAATGGTGCAAATTGATGATATAGGTATCCTCGATACGCAATATAAGAAAAAATCTTTACAATTCCTTTAAATATATACACTACATTAACATCTGAAAACCTCATTGCCGCATTGTATTACATTATTACATACAGTTGGAAGCTGTAAATGGTCAATATAAAACTTTATTTACCGAGTGATGTAGAATCGCTCATAAAATATGTTGTAGAATAATCTACAAATAAGAAATAGAACTATCAAGTGTAAAGCAAACTAGATGTAAAGATTATAGTTAAATAAATATATTTAAATTACTTTACATTATTGGGGTTTTTTTTTAGGGGGGGGGGGGGC